AAAATCATTTTTTAAGATTTAAACAGTCTATAGTTCTGAAGCTGAGAGGTAGGGCAGTTTTGTTAGAACTTTTCTTTGTAAAATCATCTAAGAATTTCCACCCCCAAGCATCTTATTCTGAAACACCCTGTATGTTCCATTAAATTTCAATTATCTTTTACTATGTAAGATATGAACTTGCTACACAACTAATGACCCCTTTGTGTATAAAAGATCAAGAGATTCGACCCTAAAACAGAACCACGAGGCATTCCTTGCGTTATTTTTCTGTTTATATCCGAAACTTCGAATACAAAATGATGCAGAGATTTTCATCAGAGATACTGTATGCTGAATCGTGGATGATCACATTCGATTCCAAACGACATGATCCTGAGATTCGTGTTGCAAAATTGAGATGATTATACGAGCGGATACGATAAACGCAATGCCATATATTATGTTTCATTTCAGTTTTGATTTGAAAACATTACGTGCTTTATTATATCTGAGCAATTTATCACCATATGAGGAGGTAAATCTTCTCGGATAGAGCCATTACGGTTCTCAGTATTGCTGATGATATCTTTCCCGAGGACGAAATTATATGAACGCGGTTACAAAATACTCCGGAGGCTTTTTACTCATTTCTTTTATTAATAAGTTGTTTTAGATGGTTCAAAAAAGGAAAGCACGCCATGAAAGCAGATATTGAACAATCCTGACAAATTCAGTGTCTATGAAAATAATACCGATTAGATTCCCACATTTCTCTTCTGTTTTTTTTTCGTGCACGCTTTATATTAGCTTCACCTGTATGTATGTGTGTATGTTTGTATGTATGTTTGTTTGCTTGTAATTCTTAAGCTCGGGATCTGTACTGACAGAATTATCGGCATTATTACTTATACTAGTGACTAGAGCTTGAAAAAAAAATTATTTTTGACAATAAATCGAACTAAAAAGTGAAAAATAAATACAGTTTTAAAAAACTAAAAATTACGCTTTTAAAAAACATCGAACTGAAAAGTTAAATAAATAGGCTTAAAACAATAACGAAAGAAAATACTAGTATTATTGTGAAGAAAAAAAAATGGCACAAAGCGTCCATGACTGATGGGGAGGTGCATTTTTTCCTTTTCTCGTTCTCATCCCCATCCAAAGTTTTTTCTCTTGTGAAGGGATCCAATCATTGCGACAAACTTCTCAGTTCTCTGTGTTAGAATTGAGGGTTGTTGATGACTGGATGACTGATGAATGTTCACAGTTGTTCACTTCATCGTGGATTTCAATTGACCAATGATTTGATCTATAATTTTCGACTTCCATCCTCAAATGTCTCAGCAGGGACTATTGTGGTTTTCAGCTGTCGCTCAATTTTTTGTCAATGAAAATTCCGATAACAATTTCTTGATGACTTCTGCGAAAGCCTTGATTGAAACACCCTCCATACTAGAAACAGTAGTATTGATATCTCTCATGTATTCATCCTTTTTTAAATATTCCAATAACAATCTCTTGTTTGATAAACATTGGATTACGCTGTTCATGAAATAGTTGTTGCCAATATTTTTCAATCCAACCGAAGAATGTTTTAGAGGACAAATCGAAAAATCTTTGAGAACCATTTCAGAATTTTGTTGGGAGAAAGTATTTTTTCCATTTGGTATTGTTTCATTTCCATAAAGTGGTATGTTATTACCTCTCTTTCATTCTTGAGTAATTATCAATTTATCACAATGAATGTTTGAAGTATTCAAATTCACTTGAAACACAAAAATATGCGTTGAATTGGAAAAGTGGATTCAATCGGTAGCCTGCTAAATCACCTGATTTCGCATCATGCGCCATTTTTTATTTCGGAGGCCAAAGGTATGGAGGCCAGATTTAGACCTACTGGGACCGACCAGTGTTGTCACATTGAAAACACTTTCAATAAGCATTTGCTAAATATTAGGTTGTTTCCGTTGTCCGTTTTCATGAGCCTATTTCAAACTGTAATATCCCAGTGAATACTTATTCAACTTAATTGAAATGGTGTACTTTTGCCAACGTAACACAAGTTGATTAATATCGTCAGCATAAGAATTGTGAACTGGGGATTCGATGAAATCGATGAAGGCCGTGAGAAAGTTATCGGAGAGCTTGAGAAGTTTGTACTCGGTTGATGAGGGGTTTGGGGAGTATGGCAGAGTAAGACAGAACTTCGAAACTTAATTCGTTTATTTTTCGGACGATGATTTGTTAAAAGTGCGGTCGTGAAGCAAATTGACCTAACCTTTAATTTTTGAGACACAGAACATCAAAAGATTCGCCGTTACTGTCGCTTCTTTGTGGTATAATATTACTGACCTTTTTTTAACTGACTTTCCCTACAAGAGTTACTTTTTTTTAACCATCCTAAATCATATAAGTCAAGGAAATGCTAACTAGACAGTTTCAACAAGGCTCCCCTGATTTGGAAAAGTAAACTCTGTTGAGCTATTTTCTAATCTGAATTGTTTTTATCATTATCGTTAGCAGTTATACGAGAGGATATAAAGATTGTTGTAGTTATTTCCTGATGATTCTGACTTGCGCAAATCCCTCATCGGGAGACAGTATTTTTTTGATGTGGGAATAGTATTGTCAATAGATTTGAAGTTTGATTTCTGTTTTTCCAACAATTATCTTGAAAATTTCGTTAGAACGTCGGAATGGGATTTGCAAAGTACCTCACTGAAAGTAAAATTGAGATGTATCCACACCAAACCACGAGAGCCAAGTTTCAACTGTCGTGAGACGTTCGTAAGACACTGAGAGCAGACAGTTTTACCAAACTACGAATAATGAAAATTAGCAACCGTCCAAACTTATCCTTGTGCCATGAAACTTATATTTTTGAATTCGTGAAATCACCACTTCTGGAAAGTACCGTCGGAATTATAATATCGATTGTAAAATGATGATAATACCATAATCACAACAAATAAACATCCTATTTTCTAATTTGCCCTGATGAAAAAATGAATAACTTATTTTCGACTTGGAAAGACTGCAATCGACCCAACAAAGAAAATGCATTGATGGCACTTATGCCGACCTGTCAAATAAATCAATTTTGTCATTATTCACCACTTAAAAAATATTATTGATTAAAAATCCACATTTACAGAAATCCAACAAGTTTGTTCATATTTCCTTTGATAATTTGCTATAATTGAAAATGAGAACAAAATCCAATGTTTGACATATGTCGTTGAAATAGTGTTGCCAACAACACAATACCAAATGCTTTCCCTTCTGTCAAATGAAATTTTAAATAACGCGTGTTGAATAGCAAATATAATCTTTGTGGATATTTATGTAAGTTCAATTATCCCCCACCGTCAGTCGACAGTTGACAAGAATCCGTTGTCTCTGGTTTGGATGTCACTGATGTAACCTACAGGTTTTTCGAAGCCTTCGAATATGTTAATTTCCTCGTTCAATAAAAACAGACTACAAATTGATTAAAATTTTATAATAATTGATTGATAAGAACGTTGAAGAACAACTTGTTCTTCAATTATGTGAGTGTAGTTCGATTCAAACTGTTTGAAAACTATCCAGTAATTTATTAAAGGAAGTTATAATTATACCGGTATTCAACTATATTTTAAATATTCCGCTCAGAAATGGTTACTCCCAACTTCATTGTTTTCCACCAATCCTGTGATCCGTCAAATATGATTTGCAAATATAATCGCTCCTGCTGCTGACTGCAGTATTCAATGCTACCAATTCAAAATAAAAAATCGAGTTATTACAACAGTAACTTCACAATACCATTGAGAGATATTCAATTTTTTTCCTGAATGGTTCAAAAATAATGAGTGTTGAGTGCTATCAACAATAAACCTACTTAGAGCTTCTGAAGATAATTCAGTAGTAATTGCATTACTCCATCTTGAAATATGTTGGCAACATGGCGACGCCAAACAGAGGAGGATAATTATGTACTTGTATGACAAGTAAAATTCCCGATAATTTCAAAGGCAACAAACAGGGTATGTAAAAGAATAATATATATCCTTGAATTGTATATCCAGACTAACTTTTTCGTTGTTATTAATATTATGGGAGTCTTCGTGTTAATGTGTTCCTTCCCTATTGCGTATGTTGTGTATGATCATTGTTGATCAAATCTCCAGAATTTTTTCTTGAAATCCGTGTTCGATTAACAATTGCAAATGAACTAACTAGTTGTTGATGACGATTGGATGAACTGTTATAACTCATAAACAATTGTGTTTTAGATTAATAGTGAGAAGTTATTCACTGCTTATAGTTATTCAACATGAGTGAGGAGTTTGTGACAGACTACAAAGATGGGGACATTGTGTGGGTCAAATTGGGGCCCAGTTGGTGGCCAGGAGAAGTGAAAGATCCTGAAAAATTACCGCCCGATATTGACGATTTCAAGAAACCACCACTTGTCATAGTGAAATTTTTTGACGAAGACACCTAGTAAGTTAAAAACTTTTAATGAATCCACAGTTTCCTTGCAATTTGATAAAAAATATTTCTCGAGTTGATGGTGAGACAAATGACTGTTTTGAAGTTGAAGGAACTGTCAGATTCTTTAATTATTTCTCTGCAAATGTGTGTTTCTGATATAATCAAGAATGTACCTAAATTTGTTTGTACTTCATTAACATTATAAATATTTGGTGTAAATTCCTGACTTACAGAAAGTGTATACCTGTTATTGATAAGAAATTCAGTGACAACTTGACATAACACCACCATGATTAAAAAAATATGTATCACAAGATGATCACAAAAATATATAAATAAAATGATTTCTGCAAATTGATATTCCAACACGACCTTAATTTCAAGTAAGTAAATCATCTTTCATAGGTCCATTTGAAACATATTGTTACTAAAGGTATAATAGTATTGACTATTCAAATTAAAAGGGGAATGTTTTTAGGAAATATTACTTTTTTTGGGGAAAAAGCACTTCTCTATCAAAGTTTCCCACATTGTTTTATGATGGATAAGTGGAAAGTCAAAAACGTTTTCCAAAAAAAAAAAAACATTGACCAAGCTTACAGATAATCCTGTAGATAGGATTTCTGAAAATAAATGCAGTGTTACCAAAATCAACGACAGTGCCTGTGTATATTATTCAAACAGCGAGAAATGTGGCCATTCTTCACGAGAATGAAGTTTGTCGACTTGAGCCAGACATTCACTATTTCATAAGAACTGAAAGAATTTCAGTGCACGCCTCCAAAATAGGTAGGAAAAGATGCTCTACTTTGAAGTGTGGATCATCGTGTTATTCAACACGTTTTGTTATTGAATGGACAAGTATATGTGTGTTTGAAAAATCTATTGTATACCCTGTATTTTTCTCATGTAGCATGGACTGCTAAATTTTCTGTATCAAATTTCTTCATTTATTTCTCAACTTTCCGATAGTTTCTGACTCTAAAATGTTTTTTTTTTTGTTTGTATCAGTTATAATTTTATTGGAATATTTTTTTGCCACAATTTTTCAATTTGATCCTTTATTACTGGCTAATTGAGGGTTAAACACACACTCGCCTGATATCTCGAAGTTTTTTGGTATTTTCTAATCTTTCAGTAGAATCATCTATTTTCTGCATTAAACGATCAGTCACGGTGAAAATCATGAGTTGTTGTTTTAAAATATTGGCTGGGATCAAATTATCTAACCTTATAAATGATTTCACGATGAGTAGAATTGTCTCTTCAGGTCACATAAAGTCATAATTTTATTAAAGAAATGAGCGCTTTGTCATGTAACTTCATCTAAAATGGTGCTGATTAGGGGATGAAGAATAATGTCTTTGCTTAGAATTTTAAAGTATACCAGAGTATGATAGATTTCCTGAATTTGCCGTTAATAATATTGAAAACTAGTGTCAGGTCTCTGTTTCCTCCTACTTTCCAGGGATGACATGCTCAGAGATTGCAGTAGCAATTCATAATTGCAACAAACACCCGATTTATATGCTATGTATCTGAGGAAGTTGTGTTGGACATTTTCGATGTTCTTAATATAAGTTACACAATGAGGGGACCAGACAGAAGAACATTACTCCAGGTGTGGACGGACCAGTGAAAAATAGCTGTAATAGCAGTTAGGTCAGTTAATTCGTGGGTTAGCCGTTCGATAAACCCTAGCATTTTCATGGCTTCATGGATAGCATGGGTATATGTAGATTGAAGCTAAAGGTGGCATCAAGAACAACGCCAAGGTCTTTCATTTGATTAACAGACTCCAAGACATGACCATTTAAAGTGTAATCAAAAGTTGTAGAAGGTACATGGGATTGATAAAAGCGCATGACATGTCACTTTGTGGCATTCAAGTGCATGCCATTTAAGGAGCACCAGTTTGATAGATTGTCAAGGTCAGACTGAAGCCTATGGGCTTCCATTGGGGTTTTAATAATCAGGAAAAGTTTCAAATCATCTTCAAATAATAATGCTTTGGCGTGTCAGAAGCAGTGAATAATGTTGTTAATGAATAAATTGAATAATAAGGGACCTGAGAAACACTAGAGGTTACTTTGAATAACGTGGAGTAGTGATAATTTGCTCTAACCACTTGAATCCTATTCGTAAGGTAACTACTAATCCATTCCATTAGTACCCCACCTACACCATATCTGTTGAGATTTTGTAGTAAGAGGTTATGGTTAACCCTACCAAATGCTTTAGAGAAGTTACTGTACACAGAATTTATCTGGCAGCTCTTCTCCAAAGATTCCGACAGGAAGTGGGAATAGGTAACTAGGTTTAATTCAGTCGATTTCCCAGCACAAAAACCATATTGTTGTTCAGTTATGATGCCAGAGCAATGATAGGTAAGGTAATCTGCCAGAATGTTTTCGAATATCTAGGGAATTGTACTGAGAATAGTAGATGGTTGACTTTTCATCACACATGAGCAAAAGCAACTTGATGATTTCTGTCGATCATTCGAATCGTAGGGCACCCACTTTTCGAGTATTTAACTTTACCAATATGTTTCAAACCATCAAAAACAGCATGGGAGCTGACGCTCAGTTCTTCCGCTACAAAAACGCATAACATTAAAAGGACAAAACTTGTGAAACAAACCCAAACAAGACTTTGTAGTTTCACAGTTCATTAAATGAGAAAATTTGACCATTTCTTATGTTTGGCAATTTATTCCATTACTCATCAGTCCTAGTGATTTATTTATACTTCACCATTATTAAACATCACTTTTAATGAACTTATTTATATTATTATAGACCATTTCTATGGGCGATTATCGATTTTACCACCTGCACATAATCTTATCAATTCCTGCATGTGTTTATGATTTATAACAATGGCAAAGAATTTTGTTATGAATGGACTGCCTCGTTACTTGATGAAAATTAATAACATCAAATAATGTTTGTGGAAATTGTGTAATTATTATGATGGATAAAGAATTTTGTTTTCTGATAAGCACAGAATTTACTTTTGATGGGCATATGACGAAACCACCTAGTTTTTGGAGATTGATTTCTGAAAACACCACTAATTATTCATTGAAAAAGTATATATTTGACAAAATCAATGGTTAAGAACTTGATGAGACTCATCTCGAAAGTTAACAATATTGTTTCTTTTATGGTTTTAAAAAAATCTGTTTTTCCATTAATCAGCTGTCGCCCCCCCATTATTACATTGTGGAAACCTACTTTAGTAAAAGGCGAAAGATTTATTCGCACTGAAGAGAAACCAGAGTGGATATCTACTGTAAAAACTTTGATACTAACAAATCAGAGTCCAAGGCTTTATCTGATCTCATTTTTTTCAAGCCACGGAGTCCCACACTGGCTACATTACAAAAAATTGTTACTTTGTTAGAGAGAAATGATGAAATCTATTTTAGAAAAACTAATTCCTTATTTAGTACTATGAGAACTCTTCAAGGTAATTACGAAATTATTAAAAAAGGAATTTTCTTTTTATCTCTCACAAAATATTGAGCAAATATTCAGAATCCAAAAAGTATAATTTTTTCCTTCTTGGGAAAGTATTGCAGAATTCTTTGTTTTTACAGATGCCTTTGGTTGTGTAGATCTTTTGTATAAACACTATCAGAATGTACCCATCTTCTGGGGAGTCGCCCAATCCGTATTGTGCTTTATCCTTTTTTCATATATCTGAATGGTGATTCAAGAAAAAGTGGTGATATCGCGAGCCACATCGCTATCTTTCTCTGACATAGAAAGAACATCCGCGATCTCAACAGAGTGATACTAATTATATTTCCTCCAATAATTAAAAATTATCCTAATCACGTCTTTATTATTTTTTATTTATTTGAAAAATAGGAAATCCTAATATAAATACAGGTCCAAAAAGGTAAAAGTAGTACATAAAAAATATTAAAATAGTATAAAAATTCTTCTAACAATAAAATACGTTGACATAATATATAAATACAAGAAGCTAAAAAGCTAAAAACGAAAATTTGTTCCTGAGAATATTTTCCCGTAACACTGAAAAAATCAGAAGTACTCAGAATAGTTAGTTCCATATTACAACCGATTGTTCAAGTGGGTAGGTAATGAAATGTTTAACATATCACAATGTATCATGATGTAACACAATGTATACAGAACACATAAGGCTCCTACCAATAAAACAATTCAATGATTTGAAACATAAAAATAAAAAAAATTCATAAAATTCATAGAGTACCTGATGTAATATATATTTTCAACTGAGCCTTGAGTGAATATAAAGTCGAAAGAATAGAGAATAGCGGTCCAAACACAATTCACCACTCTCATCTTGCACCTGTGGAAGTTGGAATTCCTCAGGGAAGTGTTCTTGCTCCAGCTCTATTTTCAATCTACACAGCAGACATTGTAAACTACCTCTCACATTTTAAATTAACATTATACGCTGATGATCTCTCCATATTAGTATCACAAAAATCTCACGATCTCAATCAACAAGCTTGCAATGATCTCATGGAAAAAATAATTCTATGGTTCTCCATTAATAGTCTTTATATCAATGCTAGCAAGACACAGTTTATTATTTACCACACAAAACAGAGAACGGCTGAAAATATAGAGATTCATTTAGGGGAAACGACTCTAGAGAAGTGCCACACCATTAAATTTCTAGGTGTAACTATGAGTGATACACTTGATTGGGAATCTCACATAAGCGAAACAATAAAACAATTGAATAGTAAGCTTTACCAGATTAGATGTCTTCAGAGAGTAATTAATATAAATGTTCTTAGAAATTATTATTTTGCGGAAATACAATCTCGACTATCATATGGAATATTGTTATGGGGCACGTCGTCTTCAGCACAAAAACTAGACCTAGTACAAAAAAATGCATACGTGCAATGTTAAATAAAAATCAGAGAGAATCATGCAAACCTCTTTTTTAAAAAATTGAATATACTCCTACTTTTCTGCATATATATATATATATATATACATATACATGTTATATACATAAAAACAAAAAAAATTCCCTGTCATAATGAAATCCATAATGACGGAACAAGATTCAGTCATCATCTATACACACCCCAAAATCAGTTGAATATATGCCTGTATGGCCCTATTTCCAATGGAATAAGGGTTTACAACCACCTATTGACAAAAATCGATCAGGAGGTATCTGACTTCAGATTCAGAAAAACGCTGAAAACATACTTACTGGATAACTCGTATTATACTATGGACAAGTTCTTATCTTCGTAGTGAACTCTCTTTGCTCCTTATAGCATTTTAAAGTACATGTATTGTTTGCCTAATCTATGTTCAAATTTCTTTTGATTTGTTTTATACCTATTAGGTCTTTGAAACCAATAAACATTATTATTATTATTATTATTATACAGTAACAGAATCTTCAATGTGGCATGGTAGTTGGTTGAAATCATTCAATATTCTGAAAAACAACGATTTCATAGATTGCTTTGTTCTTGTCCTGGAAATGTGGAATTGATTGGTGGTTCTTGTGTTCTAGTCATGAATTTGATTATTGTAGGTAATGAAGGAATCAAAACATTTTGGTAATAAATTCCTGGTTAATTTATAAATAAATATCATACTTGAGCATGATTGAATGGGAGTGTATCTATTACATTTTAAGATGATTCTTCAACCTCTATTTTGCAGTTTCTGTAACTTCTGTATATTGTTTTTATCTAAAAGATAAAGCAGAGTGGAACAATAATTTGACAGTGTTGGTTGCCTCTGAAATGATGAGCTTTTTGTAGAATGAGATATGTACATTTATTATGTTTATTCATAGATGAAAGACTGTTTATTGATATAATAGCTCTAACCGAATATCAGGAAGTTATGTATTCAGATTTTCACAATTACATGTTTGGGATTCTTCACTTTGAGCTTTAAGTTAATTATGCAAAGACCGACCACGATAATAGTGTAGATAATTTTATTTTCTGCAATCTATTTGCCCAATTTGTTTGAAATGTAATCTTTGAGGTTAACAAAATATTTACTGCTCTGTGAAAGTACGAATTGAAGCCACATTTTCTTGAAATTTAAAAATGTCACCTCATTTTAAGGATCGAGGAAGATTTAAAAAAAAGTTCTGAAAATATGTGTACTAAATGTTTTAGAAATTTTACAATAAAATTCTACTGTGATGCGATTTTATAACTTACGCAAGGGTATATATAGACATTTATTTATATGTATATCTGTATGAAGGCTGTTATATTTGAATAAGTATACACAGGTCTTGAGAAAATTTCATTTACTGTTATAAATTCACTATTTTGGTGTCACAATAAGAACTACTAGATAGGCTCAAAAGTTCGTAGGCTAACACACAGATGGCGCCACTTGTATTAAATCCATATATTTTTTTAGTAAACCCTAACCTTTAAAAGACATGTAGAAATTGCACAGCTATCGGACTACTAGTTATTAGGATATACTATTTTGAGTGCAGCAACTTTATACAATAAATTGATTCATCATTTATTGACTATGAATTGTTAGAATGCAATTAGCAATTAAATTTTGTTTCAGTGAATTTGTCAAGAGTTGGGCAAACGTACATCCATACAACTGTGAAAAGAAAAACGATTTCATAAAAAAAGGCATGAGTAAGTATGTAACTCCCAAAATTCTGGGAGGATAATTGACTATCTCGAATTTCACACTTAACCCTGATAATTTGCTTACCTTTCAAGCTGCTTTCCGCGCCAAAACTCCCCACATGGAAAAGTTTCCGAAGGATGTTACAAATGCAGAAGTTAAAGTTGGGGGAAACCCAAATATTCTCAGCGAGTCAATTTTCTTACCCGAGAAGAAGAGAAATTATGTCGCAGACATTTTTGGAACGCCAAGTCCGAAACCAAAGAGTCTCAAAGACAAAAAAAGGAACAGCAGTAAGTTTTGTTATATAAACATATACAGGGTGTTTCAGAACTTATTCAAATTGTTCCATGAGAATGTTCAGGTGTAGATTAAGCTGTTTCACTGCAAAATTAAAAACTCAATAAATCGGAACTGCTTCGTTGCCTTGTTTAAAAATGATTGTGATGATAATAGCTTCTCTGAAACTCTCATGATAGTGATCAGATGTCATATATTGAGAACACTTTTTCAACACCAAAAAAACGTACCGATTCTCGACTGCTAACCAAGTAAGCATCATCAAGATATGAAATGAACCAGTTTCAATCGTTTCCTGATGAAGCTAACTCGGGTAACGAAACGTGCGGCGAGAGTCGTACTCATTTCCAAATTGAAGGCATATACAAATCAATGAACCTTGAAAACAAATCAAAATTCAACTTACTCATAGAATGTTTAGGTCTATGAGAAGCGATGTCATGAGATTTGACGTCTGTAAAATTAACATTTGACTTGCAGAAGAGCATATTGGAGAAAAAAAATTTCTTGATATTTTTGTTTGAAGTTATTGCAAACTTCATTATATAATGCCCCTTCGAACTCTGTTCATTCTCAATGCGCTAAAGTTATTCACAAATACCCTCAGAAATCTGAGATGTTCACAACTACCAATTTAAATTGGAACACCTACTTTGAACTTTCTGGGTCTCAAAAAATTCATTGAATTTCAGTCTGATACTTTTCGAACACTCTGTCTTCTTGAAGAATTTCAACATGCTAATTCTGAAAAATTTTTATCAATATACGGTGTGGACGTAAAAACCTTCCCCCTCTTTCAATTCTTGAACAGAAAAGATATCTAGGTCGGACAAAATTTAAGTGAAGAGGTATCTGAAAAAATGGTTGAGGCTTTTGCGGCCGAGGTTTTCAGGGTCACTTTTTTCGGGTTTGAAGGCTGTCGATTTTTGGATTACCTTCCTGAAGTTTTGCTGGTGCGTGGCTAGCTTCTTCAGAAGTTTATTCATTATGAGTTATTTCCGATGAGAGTCATTCGATAGAATCAGTCATCGGAGATAACTCAGGCTAATATCACGACAGACATTGTATCCAGCAGCAGTACTATTTCAGCAAATATTCTCGTTGTTGTTTTTCTAATAAGTTCTGAAAGACCTTGTATTTATTGTGTATGTTTTGCATCGCTCGCTGCATATGTTCAGTAAGCTGCTAGTATTGTTTTCCCTTGGATATTTCAGAAAGCAAAAAAGATACAACGCACATAACCCACAGGAGGTTCATCGGCTTGGACGATTACAAAGCGTACATCTGTATACAGTATCCCGGCAAAGACCGAATTCCTGGAGATCGCGATGACGACGAGGTCATCCGAATCAATAAGGAACCAGAGGAAGAGTATAACTGCTACTCGTGTGGCTTTGCAACGAAACGTCTAGAAGTGATGGTACTCCACACGAAATCTCACATATACGGCACATACAGCCCCAGAAAATATAAAAAGGCAACTGTCAGTAGACCGAAGAAGAAGGAAAAGGTTAAGAAACCAAAAAGATCGATGGATTCGACGGACTCCAGCTCGAGCGACACCGAAGCGCCAAAAGTGAAGAAGAGGAAGACGAAATCGTCCCCCGCGAAGAAAAAGGAAGAAGAATGCAAGGCTGAAGAGGAAGAACCGAAACGTCCCGCCGATTTCCGTAGCGACTTGCTAGCCGAGTGGGAGGTCAGCGAGGACGAAACTATGAGCGAGAGCTTGCAGGATCGCAGCTCGCAAAACGAGAGCTTGCAGAACGAGAGCTTGCAGGACGAGAGCTTGCAGGATCACAGCTCGCAAAACGAGAGCTTGATATTGAACAGGACTATAGAGACTGAAAGTTCGCTTATGGAGGAAACGGCGGACAGCGAGGATAAATCTGCAGACAACTCCGTCGTTAAGGAAACCGTTGTTGTGGACGATTCCATCCAGGAAAGCGACGAAGTTATAGAGATAATAGAAGATGAAGAGACTCCGCTGACGAAGCGGAGAGCATCCCCCAAGCCGAAAATGGACAAGGAGACCCAAGAGGCCATCAAGTCTTGCTTCGACTTTGATGAGGATGAGGAGGATGAGCATGCTATCATCAATACCACCGCTATCGTTGGCAGGAAGATACCCAGAGTGATTCCACCTACGGAGAAGAGGAAGTCCGAGATGCTGGATGAGGTCATCGTCGTTCAGGACAAGGAAGACACATCGAAGAGCAGCGAAAAGAAGGGAGAAGAACAGCTGTCCAGCGAAGATATCGACAACGCATTCAAGGAGCTAATGCATGCGACTGAAGTTCCGGAGCTACCCCAGGTGCACAACACGCTCAAGTGTGAGCAAAATTTTCACAGTGTCAAGACTATAAAGTTTCCGGATAAGTCTCCACCAACAGAAATGCACAAAGACGATTCGGGCGAGCAGTCTTGCAAATCCGAACTGTCCCCCAAAACGGCCGAAAAACCCGATCAGGAGGTGGCGACGAAGCTGACGAATCCGAAGAAACGCTTCGTCAAGTGCTTTGAGGACTTTGAGCTCATGCAAAACGAGCTCAGGCGCAAGGAGGAACAAGAGCAAGAAGCTAGACGTAAGGAAGCTGCGAAAAAGCGGGAAAGCCAGACGGCCAATTCTGATCAGGTTGTCGTCACCAAACCGGACCAGAACATAGAAAAGCAGCTGGAAACTATTTTTGGTCCTTTGAGCAAGTCTCCCGAGATCGAAGAAGACGACGACAGCCTCCTGGACTACGGCTCGTTGAAGACGAAAATAATGTCCAGTATAATGGAAGAGGCCAACATTAACGAAGAGTCTCGATCTAAAATCATATCAAACATGCAAAAAAAGCACCAATCGCCGAGAAGCAAAATGTTGGAGTCTTACTTGCACGACAAAAGCAGGGACGAAGATTCTTCTTCCATAGATACAGATTCGCGACTCAGCGATGATGCCAAAAAGAGACTGATGCCAGAGGAGGCCAGAGAAGATACAAGATCGGCCGTCCCTCCAAAGAAAGAAAAATGGACCAGGAGAAGGAGTCACCCTAAAAAAGAAAGGCAGTTCTTCCAGCTGGACGATGGGACTACAAGAAACGAGAGCGTCACCTCCGATATTCACCAAAGATCGCTCGAAGCGGACAAAGATACTTTGCAAGCAACGGGGCAGACTGGCCATTCTCGAACAACTTCAGATGATAGTCCAGCTGCCAGCAAAGCTTCTAGATTAGAAGAGCTACTGGAGACTCTGGAGTCCAGCAACGAGGAAGATTCGAATATTAACGAAAACTTTCCTGCTGTTGGTAATAAAATGGAGACCGTTACGGTACAACAATCACCTAAACCATTTGAGGGCCCTTCCGCGGAAACCGCTACTTCATGTGAATCTCCTAAACACGCAGATGAAGATCAAAATAAAGAAATCGTCGAAATTTGCGAAAACATTCGCAACTCACGAAAAGAGTGTGCCTCGGAAGAGGAGCATTTCCCGTTTGGTTTATCAACGTCCGAAAGAGACGACTTTTCTCCGATCGGAAACGCCAGCAGAATTCTACCTGATGACGCAATTTGCTCGCCCCCGAAAAAGTCCAATAAAAGGAAAAAATCGAGACATAAATCCTCCAAATCCAAGCGGAGGAGAAAACATTCTTGGGAGTTCGAGACAGATGAATCTGTTGCTGAGAAACCCGTTGATTCATCTGCTACCGAATTTTCAACAGCAATAGGACAATCCTGTGGTAGTATAACTGACACAAAAAAACAAACTGCCGAACCAGTAGCAGTTGAGCTCCCTGTTGACAGTTCTGAGAATCTCGAAGACCAAACAGTCATACAAGACAGCTCGGTTGCTACTGTGACTGTAGATGAAAGCCTAGTTACCAGTCCATTCGTGGATGAAAGATCTGTCGTGGATGAAACTTCTGCCCTGAACGATAGTTCTATTGTTGATGAAAGTCTTGTGGTGAACAAAAGCCCTAAAACAGTTGAAAGTCATTCGGTAGATGAAAGTTGTGCGGTAGATGAAAGTACTGTTGCGGATCAAAGTGCCAATGACAATGCAGCTACAACTCAAATTCTGGATGATAATTTTGTTCCGCATGATAGTCAACTTGACAATTTAGCTTTAACTGAAGCTTCGGTTGAGAATCCCATTGAGGAAAAGGGCCCTGTTTCAGCTACAACTGATGTTGTGTTAGACACTTCTGCGGCTGAGAGTCATGTTGACAATTTATCTCTTAATGAAGCTTCAATTGAGAGTCCCATCGTAGAAGACGATGCGACGGAAACTGCGACTGAAACTCCGATTGACAATCCCACTCCAGGTGATGGTCACGTTGACAATTCAGCTGTAGCTAAAGAAATTGTTGGGAGTCTTGCAGCTACAGTGGAGACTTTAGTCGACAGTACTGTCCCAGAGGACAGTCGTGTTGACAATTCTGCTGCAACTGAAACTTCAGTTAATACTTTTACCAGATATGGTAGCCCCGTTGATGATTCAGCAGTGACTGACACTACTTCCGACAAACTCGAAGACGACAAACCCATCGACAGTTCAGCTGGGACTGAAACTGTGATCGATGATTCAGCTGTGACTGAAGCCTTTGTTGAAAGTCCTGCCGGACATCAAAGTCCCGTAGACAATTCAGTGGCTGTTGACAGTGTAGTGGACACTACACCTGTGACTGAGATTTCTGATTCAACAGCAGAGAAGACCTCTATCGACAACTCGATGTTTCCTTACAGTCCCATTGATAGTCCAGCTGTAGTAGAAAGTCCTTTAGAAGGTTCTGCCGTTGCTGATGATGCTACAGATGATGAATCCGCCAAGTCAAAATTTTCTCTGAACAGTCCAGCTGAAAGACAACGGTCAATCGGTCCAGTTGCAACTGATAGTCCAGTTGATCATTCAACTGTTACTGAAGCTTCTACAGATTACGCGTCTTTGGCAGAAAAAATCTCTGCTGTAGACAGAGGTTCGACTAGTGTAAAATGTTCAATCGATCTTTCTGTTGTTGCTCTTCCAGAACGATTTTTAGTAGCTGTTGATAAACGGGGTGTTTCTGAGAGTTCTGTTGAACAATCAGCTGTTGCCGAGATTTCTGTTGGGTCTTCGACTGGATTGGAACAGTTCAACGAGGGTTCTGCTGAGGGTTGTGTTGATATGTCAGTTGAGAATAACGAGTCACCAGCTTCACAGGGGACTTTCACTGAAGTTTCATCTGCTAATGATGTTGCTTTAATTGATGAAGAAAATTCTACAAAATCACCTGATGTAGTTTCCACAAACTCGTCTGAAGTTGACGGGCAAAGACCAGAGGAAATGTCAAACCAAATCCAGTATGGCGATTTAGTAAAATCTTCCGATGATGTTGGAAATCATATTGTCGAGCACGTGACTGAAAAAGTGGTTTCTGGTGAGAATTCTACTTGCGACGGTGCTTACGATACTGAAAATGTGGTCATGAAAGACTGTTTTAGCCAGGATCCTACTTCACAGGAATTTTCATTAGATGATGCTCCTGTTACCATTGAAGAAGTGTCAAATGATATACATGAAGACAACAAAAGTGATGCTCACCCAAAAACAACAGTTTTAGGAAAATCTTGCGAAGAGTTACTTACTGAGGAAATAGTTGAAACAGTTGCAGGTGGTAGTTTCGATGGTACTTTGGCTGAATGTAAAGAGAATTCCACGGATGATGCACAAAAATTACTGCAGGAACACCATGAGCCCTTTGCAAATGAAGCATTTGAAACTTCACATCAAGAAGTACTTCAGGAGAAACACATAGTGGAGCAAATGTTCAATGAAGAAGAGACAATCGAAGAAGGAGTAGTAATTGATGATCTAATTGAAGGATTGTTTGAAAAGCGAGATGAGTTGATACCCTCTGAGGAAAAATCTTCATTGATTGAGATTGAAAGTTTAAGGAAACAAGAGTTTGACACTAGCACTGGACCATCAAAAATCAATTATGATCAAATTAATGAAGGAATTGACGATACAGTCGTCAAAGAAATTGACAAAAGAACCGAAGTTGATCAAAATGCAGATGGTAGTGTCCATAACATTACAGAACAAGTGAAGGACACTGAAAACTTCGATTTTGCAGAAACAAAATTGCAATCTGAAGTTCCAGACCAAGTTGAAACTTTCCGTCAGGATTCAGGCGAAGTTATCTTCCACCAAGATTGCTCTGAAGTCATTGAAGAGGTTGAAGTTGGTAGTTCTGAAAGAGGGAACGAAAGTTTTGAGTCCGTACAGAGTAAGACTGACAGCGAGATTAACTTGTTGGAACAAGAAGTAGTTCAAGAAGTTAACATCGAAACAGAAGAGATAACAGAAATCGATCATATCAGTAATGCCGAAGAAATTATCAGAAATGAAACTTTTGAAATTGAAAAGAGTGATGACAGAGACGAGGATCGAATATTTCCGGTCATTGCTGATTCGGGGCCGGAGAAAATGGACGAAGTAGAATCAACTGAAAATGATAGTGAAGTACCGATTCTTGATAAGTTGCAGGATGATATTGTAGCAGAAGAAACTGTGACGGAAGAAATTCATCCAGAAGTGGATGCCATGCCAACCAATCTCCAAGGCGTGGTTGTTGATAGGTTGATAAATGATGGAAACGTCATTGAACAAGGAGTTGCTTTGGAAGCAAATAAAACTCCGGAGGTCATCGCGGAAACGGATCAGCCGGAAAAGACTGATTATTCCAAGGTAGACACAGAAGTAAGAGATGATTTCGAAACGATTGTTAGTGCTGCAGAAGAGCAAATCAACCAAGTTCTACCGCAGCTTAAGCCAGAAAAACCAGCGGAAGAAGCGAGTAAACTTCCCGAAAAGTTGACAGATGAACCCATGGCCGAGATTTTGGAAAGTAACAAGCTAGAAGTAAAATGCGTGAGCGATACTGAAGACGAGTTCAAATTCTCGATCCAAACAAATTTGTCCAACCTCTCTAGTCGAGAAGAAATATCGGCTATAGCTTTGGCCACATTGGCGGAAATAAAGACTGACTTTGAAAACAGTGACAGTAATACTTCCGAGGAAGTGCTTCCGAAACAAATTTTACCCTACCCCGAAAAACTTTCGGAGCCAGAACTGGTAGCTATCGAAGGAAACTTGACCGTTGTGTCCGAGAAGGATTTGGCCGACGGGCAAGTGGAAATAACATCGGAAAAGGTTATCAGTTCCAAGAAACCCACGACTTTATCGACCTTTTCTATGGACTTTTCCGACTCGACCAACGACAGCACAAGCACTAACAGCGACATCATTCCCAAGTTTCCCGAATTCGAATCCAAAGGCACGGAGTTCAACGCAAGAGCCATTACAAAGGAACTGAAACCCAAGAGCGACATAAAAAAGCCAAATACTTACGAGAGGTACGAGCTGCTGGACATCCTGGAGGGAAATTCGGATATGGAGAGGAAGTCGGAGTATCACGCCCCGCAGAAGCCGTTTGATGCCGACATGTGCGACTTTGAGGAGCACATTCCGTCGCAAATTGTCTGCTCCAGCAAGTTCCGACAGGACATGGACGAGCTCCAGGACGAAATCAAGAAAAAAGAAAGGCCCCATAACAGCTCCATCATATCCACCACTTCCAAGTTGTTGGAGAGGCTGTCTGAAAGCAAATCCGGAGACCTATTCAAAACTGAAGCCAAAACAACCATGGAGAGCGCTGCCAAGGACATTGCTGGCAAGTCGCTGATACCAAAGACGTTCAAACCAATCACTTTGAGGACTAAGCCGATAATCATATCCGAGCAGATAATCAAACCGGCTGCTGAAGTCGTCAAGCCAGAGGAGAAACCCAACATGTTGAACGATATCGAAGGCGTCGAAGCGTTCGTCATACCCAAAGACATGAAAAAGCACATTGTGGAAGAGGAAGCGGAGCCCGATTTGAGTTTGAGGTCCAGTAGAGCTTCCAGGAAGAAGGCCGGCAAAGCCAACATCCTCCAACAGACTATAATAACGCCCGAGGGAGAGATAATCAGCAGTGCAAAAAAACGCGGCGCGAAACAAACACCCGTCAAGTCAATAACAGTGAAGGCAAGCGCAATGAGTCCTTTGGCGAGTAGGATCGCCCCTGCTCCCGCCAGCAGCGTTTCTTCCACGATTCCGCTGTCCTTGAAGCCGCAGCCACCCACTCTCTTGGTGAAACCGTCGACTTTGAAGCCGATGGCTTCTCCAAAGCCCACGGTTACGCAAGACGACAACATTTTCGACATCAACTCCATGCCGATAGTTCTCTCGGACCAGATATTGACTCCAGAGAGCATTGAAAACATGCCAATTGTGATTGATAATGATGCTTCCTCGAGCAAGAGGAGCCAACAGGAGAAAGATACTCCTGCGAAGCAGTCTATGGTGATGAAATCTGTAGTTACGGCCACGCCCACTCTCTTGACAACCAGAGCGCCCAACACAGCTTCCAAGATATCCAGGTAAGGTATTTGATAATTTCTTAGTTCACTTTAAATGATATATTCCAAAGAAAGGGATTGAATGAGAGATGTGTACTTGGAACACAACGTAATATTACACATGCATCATTATAAAAATTCGCAATGAAACTGTTACTTTTGAATAGCGTCCTTTTATATATACATGTTTTAGTTTGTGTTTAATAAGGGAGAGGTTGTGTTTGGATAATACCTTGAACTTGCTACATTGAAGAGAGTCGTTGGCAATTATATATATTTATTTATACAGGGTGTTCCTAAACATCGTGTACATACGAAAGGGGGTAGTTCTTTGGCTTATTTCATAACTAAAAGTTCATATAAACATAGGTCCGCAAACGCTTCGTTACC